CTTGAGATCTGATGGTATTATTTAATGGCATTATTTCTAGTATTTGGTTGTTGTTGTTTTAGATATTTATATTCTAGAAAATGTTCTTTTTGCACTTGGGAAGAATGTATTTATTGAACTCTAATTACTGAAATAATTGTAAATCAGCATGGTCTTCCCAATATAATTGAATGTCTATGTGCTTTGCCATGACTACGTTAAATGAATGGAGAAGTTAATCTTTTATAAACTTATCTTTTCCTTTACTAGGGCACTATAACTGCAAAGGTACATGATTTAAATCCACCAGTTGCTCTGCAGGAGAAGGATGGGTTATCTCCCCCTATGCAATTTAGTGCCTCTGAAAACTTACAGGAGGGTCACCTATCAGTTAGTTCCAAATCGACAGTACATAATAATAACCACAACAACAATTTCTTTACTTACTTTAAAAAAATAATGGGACTCAATGGGACAGAGATGTATTGACTAATGACTGGAAAAATCAAGGAAGATATCTTACTTTAGGCACACTTTTTATCAGATCTGTAATGTCCTTGGATATCCTATTTGGGTGGAAAAAGCACCACAGAGCTCCTGGCTCTCACCATATATGCAAGGATCTGAACAGAGAGAAAATGTCTTTTTACACTTGACATACTAAACAAATACTGGTTGCATCACAGGAAGAAGATATGACTATCCAGACTAAGGTGAGTGGAAGGAGAATTAACCTTCTCTATACTTGATTCTTGTAAGTGTCTTGGACTGACAATGATTGCAACAATGGGCTTAATTGTGTGAAAGATGATGAAGATGGCAGAGGACAGGAGAGGGTTCATATCTGTTGTTTGTAGGGTCATTGTGAGTCATAGTTAGTTCAACAACATCTAAAAAGAACTGTGAATCTAGAGTTCATTATAATTAGACTTCATGAATTCATATCAAAAGGCATACTAATCACAGATTGTATATTAATGAAATATATCGGGATCACGATATAAGGCAGGACAAAACTAACATAAGTCATCACACAGAGGATCAAAGATGTAAGCCACTTTCCAGATCTTGTAGATATATGATTGCGAGGAACCCAAGTGCCTTTCATTTAAAACATCATGCAATACAGTGTTCTTACTCCACTTGTCCCTGCAAAAATTCCTGCAATGCAGTGTTTTTACTCCACTTGTCCCTCTGAAGGACCTACAAGGTTCATTTGTACCTTGGTAAAAAGAAATATCTAGGATTTGTAGATGATAACAGAAATTTCTTGATCTTCAGAAGCCAAAAATGCCCTCTTGTAACTAGGTAGAGAAGGGTCTAATGCAGATCTAACGATAGATGGATTCTTGGGCTGAGACTATATAATATATAACAAATATATACTATATTTGATGTTGTTGTTGCTGTTGTTAAGGGCCATCAGTCATAGACAACTCATAATGACCCTATGAACAAAAGACCTGAACACTTATATAATTTTCATCATTTCTCCAAGTTCATAGAGTTTCCAGAGGCAAACTATTTCAGAAGTGGATGTCACTCCTGCTTCCAAGCTTGTTTTAATCAGGGAGCTCCACCCAACACTGTTCACAGTGGGTAAGGATTATCACATTTGACACATCAATGTCACAGTGTTTAGCATCACAGCAACTAGGAGTTGTACAGCAAATGGACAGACTCGTGCTATACCACTTAGAAGAATGTTTGGCCAGTTGATCCAACCGAGTACTGCCTCTGAAAACCCATTGGAAAGTCAGTTTTGGGTTGGTTCTGACTCAACAATCTAAAACAGCAAGGTCTAAGCAGGTCCCCAGGGCATATTGTAGGAGAAGAAGGTGGCTGTGGTTCCCACAAGACTAGTGTTTGCTGATTTTGCACATCTTCCTCAAGATGAAAATACCCTTTTAGAAAAAAGTGTCTGAGGTATTGTAAAAACTACAATGAAAATGATTGGCCATGGAGGGCAAGAATTCATAACAATGCTGTTCTCTGTTCCCTTCATACTATTTTCTATCACTCAGAAGCAGAATTCAATGGATGCTGGTTTGTCCATCTACTAATTATTGAGATAATATCAGGAAGGGATGGACAAATTAATGTCACATTTTTATGACAGGAAAACTGGCAGGACTTGTAGTGTCTCCACTATTGTAGACATGATCTTTTTTTCTGCTGAGAAACAAAACTTCAGTCTTAGCAGAGCCCTTGCATTTGCTAGAGCCAGTTCTTTTCCTGTTGTGTACAAAGAGGCTAGTCTAAGGGAGATCGTCACCAGAATATCTTGGCATTGGGAAGGATGATGGAAACCCAAGGAAGAGAAGTCTGAACCAATGATTCAAGCTTACCACAGACCAGCAGAAGGATAAACTCATGCCAAGCTCCCTGTGCCTAGAGCTTTACATATCCAAATATTATTATGTCTACCTCCTTCTGAGAGGGTATCACCGAATAGCTCAAAAAGACTCCACTACCCCTGACAAATTCTCTTTAAAGTATCCAATATGATCAGCCCTGTACTTGTAACAACTAGACCTCTATACTGCAAGGAAGAGATTGATGAAGGAACCCAATGCATGTGTGACCTGTATTTGAAAGTGGACCCACCTTTCTAGTGCAACAATATGCTCCAGCTACTCTAAATGTGTGCAGGCAGGCAGGCAAGCAGGCAGGCAGGCAGGCAGTCTAAACATTTCCATATGTTGACAGAGTCTGTTTATTCAAGCAGAAACAGAAAATTAGGCTATTAGGGAGCTAACATGTAGAGTAAGGAAAATGGGCAGATTGAAGCCACCAGTTCTCTTGTTAGCTCCCCATTGGAAGATTGCCATGTGTTGAAACTGACTCAATGATGGTGTATCTAACATTATGTTCTGAGAATAAGTAATAGAGGAAGTAGCTTACAGAGAAGGGCAAAAGGAGAGCAAGGGGGAAAATTGTCTTTTATTGACAAAGTTCATGGGATAACTAGATTTAGAAAGGCAAAGAACAGGAAGAGTAGAGTAAAAAATGGAAGAAAGAAACTTCTTGAGTACAGTTTTCAGAATATTAAGTAGATCACATAAAGTTTTGTTATGATGTTCTCCAAAACCATACTCTGAAATAACAATTTCATTCATCTCGGCTCTACAGTCAGCACTCTTAACATCAAAAGTCAGGAAATAAAAAGATGAATTGCATTGGAGAAGTGTGCTGTCAGAAACCTCTCCAAAGTGCTAAAGAATAATGATGTCATTCTAGAGACTAAGGTGCTCCTAGTGCTCCTGTGCTTCTTAATTGCATGCTGTGCATCAGAGAGCTGGAATATGACTAAGGATGACAGAAGCAGAATTGATGTCTTTGAATTCTGGATGCTGAGAAAAGTATTGCACTACCATGGACCACCAGAAAACAAACAAGTTGGTCTTGGAGAGGGTGAAACTAAGTTTCTCCTTGAAGGCAAGGATTTTGAAACTCTGTCTCACATAATTTGGGCATGTGGTAAGGAGGGAACAGTGCTTGGAGAGGGATCATGCTTGGAAGGGTGAAGGGACAGTGCAGGAAAGGAAGACCATGGATGAGATGGATTGGCTTGATAACTGGGGCAATAGGATTAGGTATGTTGTGGCTCTGGATAGAGCAGGATTCAGAGCAGTTATACATAGGGTCTCTGTGAGTTACAGGTGACTTGAAAACACATAACAACAACAACAACTCTGAAATAAAAATGAGTTGACTATTATCTCTGCTGCTGAGGAATTTGAAAATAGCTTATGAGTCCAAAGGACTTAACTCTCACAGAGTTTCTCCAGCCTATCAGGAAAACAAATCATAATGCTGTTTTACAAATACTCATAAATTATTACTATCAAGTTGAGATTGACTCATAGCTGATTTTTTAATTTCCAGTGCTATATAAATTGCATGAGATTGCTCATCTTTCCTCTGTGGATCCACTGGTGGATTAGAATAGTCAGAGAGGCTAGGCCTTTTGGTTTAGCAGCACAGCAGACTATACCAGATTCTAAAATGTAGAAAGGGCACACTTCCCCTGAGGTAGCACAAAGTTCTTTTACATCCTAGGTCCCATGCTCTATGAGTATTTGTAAAACTGTTACTCCTGAATATAGTCTCCATTAAATACTTGATTCTTAAGGTGTTTTTCAGACCACACAAAATCTGATGTTACTCCATTCCCCAACATAATGTGATGCTGACATAGCAGAGTCAAACATTTTCCTGTAGCCCCTGGAGCACCTTTCTGCTCTTGACTAAGATATTTGATACTGCTAAGAAAGATTTATAGTACATGTTAATTGAGCCACCAGTCCTGCAGGCAGAGCAGAATTAACTGCTCTTTGGGAAAATAAGTGAAATATGAGGCACAACTTTCAAATTAGAGAATAACTATTCCACAACACTGAGAAGATATAAAAAGTTGCTCAAAACACAATTAAGACATATTATATACATAACCTTCTATAAGATGAATTTCTGAACTTTTCATTAACAACTGTAAATGCCCCAGAAAAAAAAAATATAGATACAATGTAACTTTACATAATGTCAACTCCCAGGGGGTAAAAAAGAAATTAATTAATTCCCTAACCCCTATCAAAGAACAATTTCCTTGCAACCTGTATGTCTTTTCCTAGGAAGAATCTATATTTAGAGAGTACATGACATCAATGTTGATGATTCTAACACAAAGTGTGATTATAAGGAGAACAACTATTTATAGCACAAAGCATAAGCCAAGTGGGGTAGATAATTGCATTTGTATTTGTGTGTTTTCTTATATAGCATAAATGCATTTTGAAACAATAAACACTTTTCTGTAGATCTCAAGTAAAGCGCTTCTATTTCTTGTGTTCTAGTCTTGAGGAGGAAGGACATTCGAGGAAGCCATGACAATGCCTATTCCAATGTGTCTCCATGATGCAGCATCCTCAGAGTAAGCACCAAAGTAAGCACTTTGTTCTTCTTCAAAAAGAGATCTTAGAGTCATGGAGATGAAGCTTGATATTAGTGGTGGGTCAAGTTTAATTCCACCCCACCACAACATGAGCAACAAGGAGATAGCACATCCCAACTGTGCAGGAGACCACCATCAGTGGGAAGCCCAGTCTGAAACACAGAAAGAGATTAATCATAGAATAATGCCAAGTAGGTAGGACTTCTAATCTCTAACAGTGAAGATAGTCATCTGCTTTAGATGCCTGGTGAGAACCATGAGGTTGTATACCTATACAATCATTACTGCATCACATGAATAAAAAAAAACAAACAAAAAAACCCCCTAGTTATATTAACATATTTTCCCCAGATTAATTACCTGTAATTTCTAGAGATCAATAAACAAGTGTTAGTCTAAATTATCTGGATAGATACTTCTAATAGAGATTACTTGTAATTTTTAGCATATTTTTAACAGATACTTTGATAACTCAATTTATCCATGCATAGACTTATGAGACTGGTTTTGAGAATTACATTCATTCGTGCATAGGTCACTGGGTCAGTATTGAAATCTCTGGGTAAAATTCTGACTATATGACTTACTTTGCAACAGTCTAACCATTCCTCTTAGAGAGTTGACAGCCCCCAGTAATAATGTTCCCTAGGTTCCAAAAGAACTGAAAGAATGTGAAAGGTAGAATCATAGTGGGATCTACACAAAAGCAGGAGCAACCTCAATTAGAAAACCGGCAAATGAAATGAGGCATAGCTGACTTTTGATTTCTTCCCACAATGTCTTCACCCAAGCTTGCCGGAGGACTGAGACAAGATATCATAATCGGCAGAGGTAACAGAACTTTGTAATGCTGAGGCTGAAAGTCAAAGAGCCCATGGACACTGTAGAGAAACTGTTCTGATTGTGAGATTGTACCCAGCTGCCGACCTGAAGTGTAATCTGTTTACTTCCCTAGTAAACGTCGTAATTGTGAATATGGTTGTGTGAGATTTGTGTAGCCATTACAACATATTTTGAACTCAGTTTTAGAGCAGTATGACTGGTGTTGGAATTGGCAAAAGTGGATGAAGGAACATGTGGATCTGTTCAACTATCTTAGTGTTGTACTTCGGATATTGTTGATGGAATAATTTTTCTTGTGGAGTTAATAGACGTTAGAAGTGGCAGTCCACATTCCTCCTAGACTCTTTCTAAAATAGTGGTCAAATTAATGGTCAAAGCCTAAAGATTTATCCAGTTAGCAAGGATAAGACACGTTATGTACTCTGTTCAACATTTTACTAGAGGTTATAATAAATATAGTCAAGCATTAAAGATAGCTAGATGATAGATGATAGATGATAGATAGATAGATAGATAGATAGATAGATAGATAGATGATAGATATAGATGATAGATAGATAGATAGATAGATAATAGATAGTTGGATAGATAGAGATATAGACAGATGATAGACAGATGATTGATAGATAGATGATAAAGTTTAAAAAGACATACAGATGGAGAATGAAAACTGTTTATTGGTAGACAATTACAAATTTACTATGAATTCTGCATAGTAAATCTCATTAAATCTACAAAAAAGATACTAGATAACCTTCTATTTTTACAATAATGGTTTTATGCAGTATTTGTCCTTAATGAGACTGAATTAGTTCACTCAACATAATGCTCTGCAGTTTCTCCCAAGTTATGTAGTATTTTAAAAAATCATTGCTCCTGCTCCTGAGTATTGCATAGTATTCCACTGTATGAATGTACCACAACTTATCAAACAATTCAGTTGTGGTTAGACATTTATACTGTTTCTGTGATCTTGCAATGGTGAATAACACTGCTATGAAAATTGTTGTACAGATCTCTGTTTGTATCTCAGTACTAATTTCCTTGGGGAATTAGCAGTGGAAAAGCTGGGAGATTGGGTAATGATGGGCAAAGTCCAATGGTGATTGATTTTATAAAACATAAGGTTGCTATTCATTGCAGGTGACTCAGTGGAACATAACATTAACATACTACGGCAGGTATGGAAGCAGGAGTGGCATCCACTTCCTAAACAACATGCCTCCAGAAACTCTATTAACTTTGAAATATGTCAATAGTTGTAGAGGGGCTTCAGGCCAGGGCCGGTATGAGTCATGCTTGACTCAAAGGCAATCAATAACAACAAACAATACATGAAATGATTGTATGAAACAAAATATGAATGAAGAATTGTGTGAAACACAATGCATGTGAACTTTGTGAGCAAACCAATGTAAAATAAAATTTTCATAAGGATACTAGAACTAATACGTAAGTTTAATACAGTTGTATGATATAACAGGAATATACATAAATAGAGACTGGCATGGTAGCGAAAAAGACAGCTGGAATTTGAGTGAGAGAAATCAAAAGCAACTCTTTGCACCTGACACAGGCATGCATCTGGGAGTTGCTTGCTGATGCGAGGTACCAGCCTGGGAGCTGCTACCTGAAGCCAGGTTCGCATAGGGAGCTGCTTGTTGACTCCAGGCATTTGCCAGGAAGCTGATTCCCAACACCAGGCGTGCACCCAGGAGCTGATTGCTGACAGCATGCATGTACTGGGGAGCTGCTGAAACACACATAGGGTAGCAACGTGCTGGGGAACAATGTGGCAGGGCAAGCAGGAAAGCTGAAATCTAAGTGAATGTGAGCCTGGAACTCCAGTCCCATCATCACCAGGAGGCACCTGGAATTCTGGTCCCAATGCCACCAGTCTACATCCAGAACAATGCTCCCAACATGAACCAGGAGCAATGCTGGAACTTGAGTGAGGTACTTTGTGGGGGGGATCACTGCTCTTTAGCTGGATCATGGGAAACTCCTAAAACCCAATCAGAAGAAAGTGAGACAGATAGAGCTCATTCTTAAAGGTTAAATCAAGGCTTCCTGGTTTTGCAGTCAGGTCTCTGTGCTCTGCCTTGTGTTTCCTCACTTCCAGTCCATCAACTGCCTTTAGCCCAGAACACCTTGGGCTACCCTACCTGCAGCAGTGTCTGACAGAGGAGGCTACTTCCACAGGCCGTTTCTCTATTGAAAGCCAGGCAGGATAGCTGCCACACTTTCTTCTTGAACAGTGAATATCACCTCAGATATGAAAAACTCTACCACAGCAATGTCATGTAGGAAGCAAGCCACTGCACCCCCTACACAAACCCAAAGCAAGATGTCAGCCCCCAAAAGTGACACAGTATCACTGAATTTCATGAAGCCAGAAAGTCAGATGAATTTTCTGACAGAGAATTTAAAAGAACAATGACTGAACATTTTCAATGGGTGAAAGACAAAGTTGAAAAATTACAGGACAAATAAAGCAAAAACCAGGAGGAGCTTTTAAAAAAATACAAAACAATGCAGATAAAACGAATGAAGTATTAAAGGGTCAGGAAAAACAAGAAACACAATTTAAATGTTTCAGATGCTGTGAACATGATGGAGGGTCACATGAACAGGGTTGAAGAGATGGAACACAGAACCAGTGAGATAGAAAATAGAATTGTCCCCACAGATCTGCTAGAGCAAAAAGCTCTATAAAAGGAAGGAACAAGAAGAAAACCTAAGAATAATGTGGGACATCAACAAGAGAAACAACAAGAGCATCATTGGAATACCAGAACAGGAAGGAAAAGGTTGTGGAAGAATTACTAGAGGAAAGCTTTCCAGACATAACAAAGACTGAGAGAATATATACTCAAAAAGCTGAGTGAACATCATGTAAAATAGACCCTAAAAGAAAAACATCAAGGCATGTCATACTTAAATTTCCCAGAACCAAAGATAAGGAGAGAATTTTAAAAGCAGAGAGAAAGAAACAAAAAGTAACATATAAGACAGAGGAGATAAGATTAAGTGCTGAATACTCAGCAGAAACCAGGTGAGCAAGAATGAAATAGAATGACCCTCATGTGTTTCAATGCAGTATACATAATTTATCCAGTTTTTCTCAGTCTTACCCCAACCCTAATGTCGGTCCCTTTCTATAACAGTGGCACCATGAGTATTTGTCCTTTTGTGACTGAGATATTTCACTGAGCATAATGTCCTCCAGGGTCACCCATTTTGCATAATATTGCACGAGTTTCTTATATTTGAATGCAGCATAATATTCCATTGTGCGAATATACCAAAGGTCCTCTATCCATTCGTTTGTTGATGGGCACCTTGGTTGTTTCCAACTCCTTGCTATTGTGGAAAAAAGTTGCGATAAACATGGGTGTGCATGTATCTGCTTGAATGGCAGTTATGATCTCTTTAGGATATATTCCCAGTATTGGAATTGCTGGATCAAATGGTATCTCTATTTGCAACTTTTTGAGAAAGCACACCACTTTCCACCAAGTGGTTACCCCATTTTACACTTCCACCAATACTGAATGAGGCTTCCAGTTTCTCCACAACTCCACCAGCATTTCTTGTTTGCTGTTCTGTTAATTTTGCTAGCCTTACTGGGTTGAGATGATATCTCAGTTGTTTTGATTTGCATCTCTCTTAGAGTTGGGATTTTGATCATTTCTTCATGTGCTTATTGGCCATCTGAATGTCTTCTTTGGTGAAGGGTCTGTTCATATCCTGTGCCCATTTTTCAACTGGGTTATTTACCTTTATCTTGTTGTGGTGCTCAAGTATTTTATAAATTCTAATTATAGCTGTCTTATCTGACATGTCATTGCCAAATACTTTTTTACAGTCTGTGGCTTCCCTTTTTACCCTGTTGGAGAAGTTTTTGGATGTGCATAGGGATTTGATTTAAAAGTGATATATGATAGGGTATTATGGTTATCACAAAAGTCCAGAATTAAAGTTGCATAGCGGCAGGAGGGGTGCAGGGGGATTGTATACCAAAGAAGGAATTTTTCTTTTGCTTTTCAAA